ATAAGTTGGCCCTGAGGGAGGGGGTCAGAGCTCGGACCTGTAAGTGGGGGCTTCGGTCCCACAGAGTGGGGAGGGGGGCTCAGCTCCATCCTGAGACCCCCAAGCCACGCAGTTCTGCTGCATGGGGGTCTCAGCCCCACAGTGGGGTCTCATGGGGGCGTCTGTGCCCCATAGTGGGGTCTCAGTGGGGGGTCTCAGCCCCACAGCGGGGTCTCATGGGGGCATCTGTGCCCCATAGTAGGGTCTCACCGATGGGTCCCTGCCCCACAGTGGGCAGGGTCTCTGCCCCATAGTGGGGTCGTAGTGGGGGGGTCTCTGCCCCATAGTGGGGTCTCGCTGGGGGGGTCTCCGCCCCACAGGGGTCTCACCAGCAGGTCGATGCTGACGGGCTGGGATCCGTTCCTGCTCTCCCCGCTCTCAAACTGATGCTCCAGGCGCAGCAGCAGCTCCGTTTCCCCGTCGCCGCTCGCTGACAGTGTCAGCAGGTGGACGCTGGGGGGCAGCACTGAGCGCAGCGCCGAGAACTGGGGGAGGAACGGAGACGCTCAGAGGCGGGGGGGGGAGGGGGGCACAGCGGGGACCCCCCCAATACCCGCCCCCCCCAATAGATTGGGGGGACCCCAGGAGGGGTCACACTCCGTATGTTGGGGGTCACAGAGGGACCCCAGGAGGGGGAAAGCAGGGAGAATGGGGGGCATAACGGGGACCCCTCCCATTACCCCCCATAGGTTGGGAGTCATGGGGAGGGGGGGGGCACAGTGGGGACCCCCCCCATCACCCCCCATAGGTTGGGGGGACCCCAAGGGGGGGGGAACAATGGGGACCCCCCATAAGTTGGGGGTCATGGGGAGGAGGTTACAATGAGGACCCCAAGAGGGGGGGTGGGGGGGCACAATGGGGAGCCCCCCCATCATCCCCCCATAGGTTGAGGGGACCTCAGGAGGGGGGCACAATGGGGACCCCCCCAATACCCCCAGTAGGCTGGGGCGTCACAGAGGGGGGACACAATGAGGACCCCCCATCACTACCCCATAGGTTGGGGGTCACGGAGGGGTGGGGGGGGGCACAACGGGGACCCCTCCATAGGCTGGGGGTCACGGGGGGGGTCTCCATCCCACCTCCCGCACGTGGGGGGTCCCGGAAGCCGACAGGATCACGTGGGGCTCCGCCGCCATTTCCTGCGCCATCAGTCGATGCCCGTCGGCGGCCACTTGGGGGCGCTCCAACAGAACGCGGTGCGTCCCGCGCACCAGCGCCCCCTGGCGGCCCTCCAGCAGCGCTTCTCCGACGCCGCGGTTGTCGTCGTAGAGCAGCCGCCGGTGAACCTTTAATTGGGG